ACTAATGATTTTTTTTTTTTACTTTTAAGAAAAAAGTGCTCTCTAAACTCTGACTTTAAATGTAAGTAAAAAACAATCTTTTTGAAATTTGTCTCTTCTAGAAGAACCATTATAAAACAAAAACCTTTAAATGTTGTTATTGCTGTTATTTGGGGTTTTTTGGTAGATTAGGGGTGAAAGATAGAAATTTCTATCCCTTTCCCCTCCCCACCAACATTTGTATTTTTGTTTAGATAAATTATGTCAATATGCTTTCAAGATTACTTATTATTCACCCGGGTGAATCTCACCTGTTCTTAAGCCCATTCTTTGCGAGGATTCTTCATTTTTTATACTTTCCTTTTTTCCAGCATTTGCTTGTTCTACATATGTCACTTTTCTGCTGAAATTTATTATTTGTTCACTTGTATTATTCACTTTTCCCATTTCATTTTAACACATTTTTTATTATAGGTTTATTCAATTTTCTGTCTGAAAATTTCAACAGATACGTCTTCCTTGAGTTTTTTACTATTGATTATTCCCTCTCTTGTAGACAGTTTATAAATACTTGCTTTTATGTGCACCATATATTTTATTATATAGTGGACATTTTATTTGAAATCCAAGTAGATGTTCAAGTAAATAATATTTACCCCAGGAAATGACACATTCTTTCTACTGACAAACAAATTGAATGCAGAACTGAGTCAATATAATATTTCACAAAATCAGGTATGGGATTTTATTGCATCCTTAGTTATTTTCAGTTCACCATTGACTTCAAATAGTTTGAGGGTGGGAGCATAACTCCCCCTGCAGGGATATCCACATAATTCTTTAAGTTTATAGCCAATTTTCCAGCTTTCTGAAACATTTGAATGTTTTTATTTTTCAGATTTACTTGTTGCTTCTTTTTTCCCAAAGACAGAAGGACCTACTAGAGATATTCTTTTGTGTGTTACTATCAGAAATCCGTACACCTCTTAATCACCTTAGTTATTATCTTATACACACTAAGAAGCCACCAAGGGTTATTGTTTCCTACTTTCTTCTGGCTTTTTCTGCTGTACAATCTATTTTCCATATTTTTCTGGCACCAGGAAATTTTCTTTGCTCTCGATTCCAACCCCCAGTTATATATACTCTGTGAGATCTCTCTTTCTTGTCCTCCCACCCCCCATCCCACCCCAGCCTTCATAGTGCTGCACTCTCCTCAGTGAATATCTGACATGTCCCACCTTTTAGCAATCCTATGCTATTTCCAGATTGGATTAAGAAAGGCACTAAATACTTCTCAAAGCTCTGCTCTCAACCTTCTGTGTACCAACCTATATAGTTGTTGAAGATATATAAGTCTTATATTACCATTAAGAGTTTATTACACGTTTTTCCAGTTTCTCTTTATGGCATTAATGATGGTTTTATCTTTTTATTTCCACTATAACTGAGATGAATCTATTCTTTAATGATGGGCTTGTGTCTTGCTATAATTTAGTATTTTTATGTTTGTAGGAATTTTTAAGAAGTGATTTTGTTTGCTAATCAAGTTTTTTTTTGTTATCACTAGGGTTGAAGCAACAGTGCCTTGTAACATTTCATGTAATGAGAATTGAAAGTCCTAGGCTTTCAATGATATCTCTATTTTCATAAATTAGTAAATTAAAATGATTTATGGAAAAACAAAAATATATTACATTTTTCAATTAATTAATGTATACTAAAGTCAAACACAATATCAACATACATTATATTTATGTATTTTGAGACCATTCGTTTCTATTTGTTCAGTTTATTATATTATGAGCTTTTTTTCATTAGTGACTATGGATTATATTTCTGTCTGTTTCATAGAAATCCTCACAATGTTAAGCATATAATACAAAACTAGTAAAAACATATTGGGCAGTAACTTTAGAATACTAACTTTGCAACAATTTTCATCATTCAAATGTGATTACCTTTAAAGATAATTTATTATTTTAATGTTGGACTTATTCCAAATGTTTTCCTTTTCTATTTTTTTTAAGATAATGTACATCAGTATTATGTCTCAGTTAATCAATATTCATCTCTCATCATAAACACAATTTTGAAATTGCCTCTAGACCTATGATGATATGAAGTTGAAATTATGTTGCAGGAAACATCTGGTTATTTTTCTTAAATTTATTTGTACCCATTAATATATGGTAGTCATTTTCCCTCTAATATAAACAGGAACTACATTCAATTATCTGGGCTAGGGATAAGCTGTTCTTTGCTTTCTAAACCAAGAAAAACATTATTTTGATTTATGAAATGGTTTTGGAGACTTGTGATATAAAATCTCTAACGAAACAGATTATGACCAAGTGGTAAGCTTATTTAGCTAATAAAGTCAACATAAAGTTATATTAAATCTAATTTTTCAATTGATCAGAAGAAACTTAGAATTGCCTATTATATTTTAATGTCCCCACCACTTATATATTTGGATGGGCTAGACTACTTTGAGAATGAAATGGGAGGAAAATAGCATGTGTGTCACTTGGCTTACTCTGTTGACATCTATGTTTCTATTTTGTATTTAGGATAAATTGTACTGGTTTGTTATTTATTTTATTATATAATCCTATCTAATAAAAGAGTAATATGCAAATTGACCATCACTCCAACACACAAGATGGCTGCCCCCATGTGGTCAAAGATGGCCACCACAGATGGCCTGCAGGGGACAACAGTTGGGGGCAACCAGGCCTGAAGGGGAGGGCAGTTAGAAGTGACAGGGCTGGCAAGGGAGGGCAGTTAGGGGTGACCAGGCTGGCAGGGGAGCAGTTAGGCATTGATCAGGCTGGCAGGGGAGTGGTTAGGGGTGATCAGGCTGGCAGGCAGAAGTGGTTAGGGACAATCAGGCAGTCGGGCAGGTGAATGATTAGGAGCCAGTGGTCTTGGATTGTGAGGGGGATGTCTGACTGCTGGTTTAGGCCCGATCCCTACACTGGCAGTTGGACATCCCTTGAGGGGTCCCGGATTGTGAGAGGGTGCAGGCTGGGATGATGGGCACACCTCCCTCCACCCCATGCACAAATTTCGTGCACTGGGCCTCTAGTAAATGAATAAAATAATTTCAGCTTGATGAGAGAGAATCATTGATTAGCTAACTCCTGCATCTAAACCAGGGATCCAGCCACAACCCAGGTATGTGCTTTTGACTGGAATCAAACCTGGGACCCTTTAGTCCATAGGCCGATGCTCTATCCACTGAGCCAAACTAACTAGGGCAACATGTATCTATTTTGAATAAACTGCTTTCAAAATCACTTAGATTTACACAGGCCTGTTTTATACAAATTACTGCCAAGAAATCATTGTAAAAGTTATAATTATTTATATTTACAAATGACCTCAAAGTTCACATTTTGTTGACTTAAATATCCTATATAATAAAACCCTAATATGCAAATCGAACAACCAGTGGAACGACCAGTTGCTATGATGCGCACTGACCACCAGCGGGCAGGTGTTGAACATTTGCCCCTTGAGAGGGAAGTGACTGGTGGCGGCGATCGGGGGATGCGACCAGCCAGCGGGTGGCACCAGGCTGCCAGCCAAGGCGGGTGCCAGTGGGGCTCCCCCAATTGCCCCTCCAGCTGATCGCACAACAGAGGGAAGCAACCAGCGGTGGCAGCATGGGTTGGGGGGCGAAGCAGCCAGCAAGTAGCTCCGGGCCGCCAGACAAGATGGGTGCCAGCA